ATCCCAGACAGGTAATGAAGTACCCACCCTGATCATGAATGAGAAAGAAAAACTTGTGACCTGAACGTATTTCCAAATAAAGTAATTTATTTTAAATATATGAACAGGATTAAACACACAAACATTTATTAAAAATATTATATGAATAAATGAACACAAGTTATATTTTCGACATATAAATTCCACCTCAGAGTTGTCATAAACACTAAGTTCCAGGTGTTGCAACTCACTGGCACGCTGCTTAACTAAGTTTTAAGTAAAAAGAGAATAAAGATAGTAAAGATMTATAGCTTTAAGGATAGGAGGAAAAGAAATTAGTGAATTTAGCACTTGTTCTCCARAAGTCAAGACCAGACCAGCACCAACACATGTCAGAGATCAGACACCTCCGGAGCTAGACTTCACTTCGACGTTTTATCTCAGCAAACATTTGGTTCTACCTTTAGATGTCTTCAGACAGAGCCGAACCGGCAGGCAGGTAGAAGGGTTTGAGAGTGTCGGCATCACGAAGTCCGCAGGATGGATAATGTCTGTCATGACATCAGGGGGTTGAGAAGACCCTTGTCTCACCCCTAACGAGCCCAGTGGCTTCCGGGGCGGGTCTCAGTCGCTTCTCGGCAGTAAAATTAGGTTAGTAACATTCAGACTCCCATCCAGACAGGTGCCCAGACGGACACGCACTCCTCAGAGAGACCCAGTCAGAACCACGCTTACTCCGACGAACAGACAAGAACTAGTGTCAACGGTGAGAACAGAAAAGTTAGTTCTTTTAGAAAAAAGAGCGAGAAGAAAAACAATCTGTTTTTCCCACACTTGCGGCCAGCTGGTGTTGTCTTTATCAGCAAAAAGGCCTTGGAAGTCTGAATAGACAGACTAAACTGTCGTACTTAAAATCACTTCACTAAGGTTATAAATCACATATACCACTTTGCACAAATGGATTAATAGTAAAATTAATAGTACACAATACTTAATCATTAAACCAATTAAGAAAAATGATAAAACCATGATTAATAAACCAGTAGTAAGAAAAAACAGTAAAACACATTTCAACTCTTTTTTTCTTCACAGTGTAAAACTTTGAGTAATGATATATTGATTATAACCTCTAATAGAAGATTAAATGAAGAAAAACATATCGAACATATTGTCCCATTCACTTAAAGAAAATAGAAACAAACTTTAAAATGACTTTCTTCTTATAAGTGTAAAAGCAAAATCAAAGACAAAACATAGAAATGTTTATTTCACCAGGGTTACCCCTACAATTTGTTAGAAATACACTGTAAAAATGAAATGTTGGATTTACTTAACCATGTTATGTTACCTGGTTCCACTTAACTGAGTTGAGTACATTCAAAGCAATATACCAGTTTTTTAGCCAAAGAACATGAGTATGTTGCTTTGAATTTACTCAACTCAGTTAAGTGGAACCAGGTAACATAACATGGTTAAGTAAATCCAACATTTCATTTTTAGAGTGTGTTGGACGTAACACTCATACCTAAGTATTGTCTCTTCTGTTTAAGTTATATTTGTGAAATATCAAAGAACAGTTTACCAAACAGTATTCAGCTCAAACAGCCCTTTTTTCTTTCTGCTATTTTTTGCTTGTTTTTTGTATTTTCATTCCCCACCAGCATCTCTTTTGTTCCTTTATCTACCTTCAGGATAAAAGCTTCAACTACATATTTTTTCTTCCTCTTAACCCTCACTAACAACTGCTGCCTTTGAAGATTTAATCAGTCAGATTTCCTTGATTAATCCATTTTCGTGTCTTTCCACGGTAAATAATTACAGTCATGATCGCTGGCAGGATGGAGAGAGCAGCGTGCAGATTTCTGCTGGAGCAGGAGTCCCCAGGTATCTTCATTAGCCTGATTATTCTGATACAAACACACTCCATCAACCCGTTTACATGCAAATAGGTTAATCTTATTCCAGCTCCCAGCTCACTCTGCTGGTATGCCATATTTAAGGGATGAAGTCTCCACATGTCTGTGTTCCTCAGTCTGTCTCCACAGTCCACAGCTTTATAGTTTGAAATATAAGAAGCATAATTGACACTTAATCTATTTTTAAAGGTTTTAATGGGAGATTATTTGTAAAAGATGATTCCTCTGTCTCAACAACAGTATTTCCAGTGAATTTCTTGGGTTTGCTGCCACTTGAGGTTGTCCTCTGTTGACACCTAGTGGTCAAATACAAATATTTCACGCAGCTCCTCATTTTATTGAAGTAATAAACTTCAACCACTTGGTGGCAGTGCAGTTTTCCCTTCTGAAAATTACTTTCTGTCAAATGCATTTCAAGACAACTGAACATAGCGATACAAACCTAAAAATGATCTTAATCGTTGAAACATTTATAGCTTCTTCAGTCGCTTTGGTATTTTTGCACGATGCTGCCCAGCAGTGAGGATAAAGAGCTGCTGCACTGACTGCCCCTCTTCCCACTGGATTAGTGAAATAAAGCAGCCGTTCAGACACTGAGCTCTGATCATCAGCTTAATAGTGTTTGATCCCAAATAACACAGCCACAGTGCAAACACGGTGTGTGTGTTTTTGCAGACATGCAGGTTAGATAAACATGTGAAAGCTATACACAATAAAACTTTTTCTATCCTTTAAAGTTGCAAAAGGTGCAAGGAAGGGATCAGCTTAATCCCATCTTCCGTTTATATTTATGTAAATGTTTCATAATTATTAGATATTTTTTCCATGCTGTGGCTGTTTACATTATTAACCTGGTAAAATGATAGAACACATTCAAAAACTAAAGATCTGTTAAAGAAAACAGCTTTTTTTCAGGCAAAGTGTGTCATTCAGATTAAAAGCCTTGAGGGTCAGGGGTCAAAAAGGCTTAGAGTGAATTCAGCCCTCCCTTTGTCTCGCCTTCTTTTCAGAAAGCAAATCTTTTCTGTCTCGACGACACCGCTCTATCAAATCTCTGTCATTTATCATGAGTAGAAAGCGTTTCATGCCTGTTTGGCTTCAAATGTTCTGCCTTTGAGAGTCTGTGTGTCAAGCGAGCACAGAGATCTGCTTTTCTTTTCTTTTCTTTTCTTGTCTTGTTATTCATTCTGTTTTAAAGTTAATTTTTCTGGTTAGCAGTTCAAATGCATCACAAATGCACTTTCCCCAGCGCATACACACAGGCTTATACTAATCCTGCTAAAAACAAAGAGATGTATTTCTCTGCACAGATCAGGAGTGGGATGTTCATCAGTATGTTTATCAGGATTAAGAGAATGTCTCTAACATCATACTTTTAATTCTCCCATTTAAACGGCGAGCTGGTGCAAGTGACAAAAACACCAAGAAGACGTCCAGAAAACGTGATGAAACCACAAGTGACCATTCCCACCACTGAGCCCTGACCCAGTATGACCTCTTGACCCCCTTTAACTGACCTCTCAGTGGGTGGCCTTTACGCTGACCAGCAACAGATCAGCTATTTGTTAAACAATATTTTTCATTATTTGAAATGTTTTCTTTGCAGAGGCTTTTAGTATGTAAGTAAAAGGGTTGGTTATGTGAGTGTTTCGCTGTGGTCTGAGTTGATGTCAGGACAGGATTATGTCGGCGTGGTGTCACTGCGGAGGGAAGTCTGCACAGGCGGACAGACACGTTAATCATAAATCTTTATCTGACAATCCAGCCTCGTGCGCCCAACCTTCATTAAAAGATGGGATTAGTGCAGCTAAATCACAGAGAGCTGCAGGAAAGAAAGTGTAGGAAGCAAAAAGAAATGCTTCTATCTATAGGCAGATGCAGGCAGCATGACAGATCAGTGGTTAGCACTGAGGCCTCACAGCAAGAAGGTCCTAGGTTCTATCCACAGCTCAGACAGGAGATCTTGTTCTTCCCGTGCTTGTGTGGGTTTCCTCCCACAGACTAAAACCATTTATGTTTGGCTGCTTTCAAGTCCGAGCCTCCATCCACTTTATCTGTTAGCTAAAAACAACAGTCACCCTAACAAAAATTATGCACAAAATGTGGTACTTTTTCATCAGTTTTAATTGTGATATTTTCTCCAACATGTACTAAAATGAAAAAAGTCTAAAATGTGCATCATAAATGTTTGCAAAATAAACCAGATATTTTTTTAAATCAGGGTCGGGGTGCTTCTTTATCATCCCTCCTCAATGGAACTACATTTTTTGCATTTTGATTCAAACATATTTTATTCTTTCATCTTCCACAAAATTTCTTTAAAATAAATAAACAAACAAAAACGAGCAAATCATATTTACAAATCGACGTCTGAATGTGTTTTGGGTGAAAAACATCAAACAGAATGCTACACAAAGGTACTGGACACACGCACACACAAACAAAACGAGTCATAAGGAGATTACCTAGGCAGAAAAGAAGCCTCAACATATCAAAAACAAACTCCACATACAATGAATTAAATTAAATAAATAGAAAAAAAACACTTTACGTAACTTCATGTTACCAAAGCTAAATTAGAAGTGCTCATTGTTTAGTACCAGAACAACAAGATATTAAAGCAACTCTCGTGTGTACCTGTAGGGTCCCTGGATCATTTGGTCATCAGTTTTAAAGATAAAATCATGGTTTAATGTCAAGTATTTTCTAATACACACACTAATGGTGCTATAGTGCAAAAGCACCGTGTTAATAAAAAATACTAAAGATTTTCTACCAGCAGTGCAGATGAGTTTGAAAGTCCTTGAGAGACATCATCACAAGGTTTTCTGAATAAAACTGAAGCTCATCAGTCAGGTGGAACTGACTCCAGTTTACTCTCAGTCTCTGTGGGTGGACAGCATTTGTCACTAGATCATGTGTGCTGAATGGTAGGAGTCATATGGACCTTCTAAGTGGACGTCATACCTACTCTGAGTCTGATAGAGAGCCTGGTCTACAAGGGAGGGGGAGTATTGATGTGGGGGTGGGTAGTGAGGCGAGGGCTCCTGTTTGGGCACCAGGTTACTGCTGATGCTCAGGGGCGGTGTAGGGGGCCCATCGTACGGAGGGGTCCCCACACCTCCAGCGTTATACTCGTGGGGCGAGTGATTCTCATACTGTCGTCCTTTCATGGCCCTCAGGTGAAGCAGGTGAGCCGAGTCGTACGTGCCGTACGGGGGGCTAGGCAGACCCGGAGAGGTGTAGCTCACCGTGCCTCCGTGAGCATTGTGTGGTGGACAAACTCCATGTCTGTCTTCAGATCTCATCCCAGCAGGAGCTGGTCCCAGCTGCAGGCAGCCAGCAACCAGGTTGGTGGTGGGCTGTGAGAGTCCCTTACACAGTGTCTCCATGAAAGCTCGGCTCTCTGTGGAGAGCCCCCCGTCCAGAGCCTCGGTCAGAGCACAGATGTAGTTGCGGGCCAGCCGTAGCGTCTCAATCTTGGACAGTTTCTGCGTTTTGGAATGACAGGGCATGATGCTGCGCAGGTTCTCCAGTGCGTCGTTCAGGCCGTGCATGCGGGAGCGCTCTCTGGCATTAGCTTTGATACGTCTGGCACGAAAACGCTCCTGCCGGGCCTTTGTCATGCGCTTCTTTTTGGGACCACGTCGCCTGGACTCATTTTCATCCTCCTGTGCTTCCTCTCCATCCTCCTCCTCCTCCTCTTCCTCCTCCTCCTCTTCTGCATCCTCACTTCCCATTTCTTGGGTCGGTTGGTTCACTCCTGCCCTGTAGTGGTGTGACGGGACGGAAGTGTTTCCGTCAGGTGAGCTCATTTCTCCTTTGAGCCACTGCAGAGGGCTGACGTCCTCCTCTTCCTCCGCCACTCTCACGTACGACTTAATCATCACCGTGTTCTGCAAACAAGAACTTTGTCACATATGTGCATTTGTTCAAGTTTAACTACAGACTCCTATCTGTGTTGTGAAACTTTTCTAAGAAAATTAAGAATATTAAAGTTCAGTTTCAGTTCAGTTTTTCTATCTTATCTGAATTTGTGCAGATTTTGCAGATTTGTACATTTAACTGGAGATAAATGCATGAAAACTGGCACAGTGCAGTGGTCTTAAAAGATAATACATTTAACAGTTTGTTTATCTTTTGATTTTTACCAGTGGTAATTTACAAACAAAACCTAAACAACTCAATCTGAGTGAGATGTTGAAATACAACATTTTTGGCAAAGTTTTTTCAGTAAATAAAAAAATGTATGTGGTCTTGGATTCCTGGTTAAGTTTTCCCATTAAAATTCAAATTAACATTGACATTGGTTGAAAATGACATTGACATTTAAAATGTATGTCCAAATAGCTTATTTGTGAAGCATTTTTCCAAAAGTGTTCAAAGGTAATGCTTTGGAAAATCCATACTTTGTCAATCCTTAGGTGAAAAACATACATTTTTATTTCAAATTGTCTTGCAAATACATGACGTTTTAATGTGAATTGTCTTTAAAATACCTTATAAAACTGAGAAATTAAAATATTAGGTTTAAATAGGATTCCAACAAAGTTTTTGGTGGAGACCAGTTTCCCTAAAATTGCAACCATTAATAAGCATTTAACTGTTTTTGCACGTGCAAAAAGTCTTCTGACAAACAAACTTAAAAAAATTGTAAATTTATATTTAAGTATTAGCATTTAAAAAACAACATATGTAAAATTGGAAACATTTAATTTGGTTCAAATATAAAGACTTTTGTTGAATTAAAAGAGGATTCTGGTCCATAAAAGAACCCTGTTAAGTTTTTGTAAAAGATTTAATTTCTTGTAAGTCAGATGCAAAGGTTCACCAAACAACAATATTAACCCTAATATTGCTGTAAATCCGAGTTTACAGACTTTTAAACATTTCAGCACTGGACAGCTCCCTCCTGAACCGAAGCTGACTTGGAATGGTTTTAGTAAAATGTTACAATAAAACACAGGTAAATGTTTGTTTGTTTGTTTGTTTGTTTGTTTGTTTGTTTGTTTGTTTGTTTGTTTGTTTGTTTGTTTGCCCCGCCCCCCCTCCATCCCCACCCCCACACATTAACGCATGGCCTGTTGTAGGCCACCCGCTCTCCCCCTGTTCAGGGTCAGCCTAATCCGGGTCATTTTGTGAACTGGTAATGCCGTGCCAAGATAAAGTCACTGACGGGACTCCAATCTGGGGCAGCGCAGGATTTACTCTGTGGATGAAGCGACGACCATGGGATTAAATGAAAGATCGACATCCTCCAGATCACTGGCCTAACAGAAGGCTCGCGCTGAATTAAAGCAGACATGTTTTTTTTTTTCAAAGGCAGGAAAACATGGTTGTGTTGGCGCAAACAGCCAGCTGCACAGAATGAGTTCCAGTTTTAACACTTCCTCATGACCTAAAGTAAAAAAAAAAAATGCTGCAAAAACTTTTGTTAAGGTTGTTTAGAAACCCTGAGACCTACCTGTGTGCGTGGATGTGTTCCGGGACTTGTTGAAGGATTTTGTCAGATCAGATGTTTCTTCTTTCTTTCAAGAATCTCAGTTTGGCCTCTCTGCTCCTCCAACCGAGACCAGGTTCTGTGGTGGCTTCTTCCAGTCCTCCAGTGCAGGTCACTCCGCTGGGGCTCCCGGTTTTAACCCTCATGGAAAAAGCTCCTCCTCCTCCTCCTTCACCTCCTCCTCCTCTCACCCAACCAATATCTGTTGACGCGCTTAATCTCGCGCGTGGCCGACCCGTGTCTCTGGCCACCTGGAGCTCCACTTCTGTGAGTGTGTATGCGGGGGGGTGGGGGTGGGGGGGTCAGTCAGAGAGATGTGCAGACTGAATTTGTCCAGACAAACAGGAGAGGCCCGGCCTTTTGTTGCGTCAGTAAATCCGCAGCACAGTTTTTGCGCAGCGCAGAGGCGAGACGCGCTCAGTCGCCTGAGCCTAACTGTATGTGACAGCTTGAAGGTGCGTGCGTGCGTGCGTGCGTGCGTGTTTTCTCCACCTCCTCCTGCAGCCAGACGCCCCCTCTATATGCCCGGGATATATAAACTGTTGAACAAGTTCAGTTCCTCCTGAGAGGGCCAGAATTTCTGGTTATGCAGATTAACAAATTTAACCAGTGGCTGGAGAGGGCTGGACTGAAGGACAGAGGCATTGATCATGGCTGCAAAGGAACAATACAGGCGGGGGCCAGAGCACTCCTGGCTGTGACACCCCCCCCCCCCCCCCAATGGGAGAGAGGCTCCAGCTGATCCCCCTCAGAGCTCTCTGTCCAAAAACCACTAAGATGTGTAGAACCTTAAAACACCCAGGTCAGTTTGTCCAGAGAAACAGAAATCTTCTGTTTGAAGAAAGCTGACCTTTAAGTACATCTTAGTTTTTCAGGTAGATTGTTGTCACATTTAATCATGCAACTCTCGAAATATCTACCCATTAGGATTTTGTGCAAAATGAAACAACAATGGTTTGTTAAAAATCTTTTACGCACCACTGTATGTTCTGGAAATAACAAACACCAGCTCCTTCTAACCCTGAGGGACAGGTAGGAAATTGAGGTTGGATAGATGTACTTTAAATGGTAAATGGACTGTACTTATATAGCGCTTTTCTGTCCATCCAGGATACTCAAAGCACTTCACACTACAATCTGTGTCCTCATTTACCCATTCACACAGCACTCTYTTAGGTCTCTACAAAGCTAACATGTACAATCATCCATGGAGACTAATCAGTGCCAGTCACATTCATACACTGATGGGACACACATCAGAGGTATTAGGGGTGAAGTGTCTTGCCCAAGGACACAAATGGCATGTGGACATGGTGGGGGTCGAATCTGTGGCTTGTGGGTCACAAAGCCGGCTGTTCTGCCACTACACCACAGCCCCCGCCCCCTTTACTTTTCTATAGTGGTGCTAAAACACAAAAATCACAAACCAATTGTACTTGATGTGTGATTAAGTGAACCGTTAAAAAAAGGCAGAACTTTCTAAAAATTTCAGCAGAAATGTTTCCCTGAAGTGCAACACAGTGGTTCAGTTAGAGCTTCTGCCTCTCAGCAAGAAGGTTGTAGGATTGAATCCCAACCTTTCTGGGTAGAGTTTGCATGTTCTGTCTGTGCATGTGTGGGTTTTCTCCAGGTACTCTGGTTCTATTCCAGTGATCATGTCATTGTTTAAATGTTGAAGACGATGTGAACAGGGTGAACTGTCCAACAGGGAGGTTTTAGATAAGTTGCAAGGTTACTTTTTGACTCATACTGAATGAGTTTCTCTCTGGGCTCATTCCCCAGCCGACTACCTTGCCGGCTGATCCTCCCCCCTGCATCTTTTCCTGTCCCATTCCACACCTGCAGCCTGGGATGGGAATAGCAAAGCCTGGCCTCTTCCATCCCAAGAGAGGAAGCAGCGGGGGAATATGATGGCTGAGGCCTTGTGTCTTTATCAACACATCAATATTTACAATGAAAATAGTGAATAAATTTCAGTCATTCTTTCACTAGTTGCTTCCAGACTTTAAACTTATTCAATTTTATATATATATATTACATTTTATTCCAAGTTAGACCCTTCTGGGAGTCCAGTTTCTGTGCTCCACAAATGTAGATCTGTAAGTGTGCCATGATGTTCCCAGGTTGTTATTTTCAGGCCACCCATGATGAGGTCCTGCTGCAGATGGTCTTCTCAGTCTGTGGCTCAGATGCTCCACTCCTCTCCTCTCCCCTGGCTTACACGTTCCTTCCTTACCTTCTCTAGCTTGGAATTTAGTTTATCAAATAAAAAAAAAAACATGACACATAAAACTTCACTTCAGTACACACACACAAACATGACCTTCCTCTAAATTCCCAGTGTGGTTGTGTGTGACAGTGAGGGGGGGACAGTGCATTTTGTCCATATGCCATACTGGAAGTCCTCAGAGAGGTGCCAACAACACTGCATGACGACTATGTTGGTGTGTGTGTGTGTGTGTGTGTGTGTGTGTGTGTGTGTGTGTGTGTGTGTGTGTGTGTGTGTG